TTTATTTGTCTGTACTGGTCAGCTTGGCTTAGTTTACACGCCTTGCTATTATTTCAGCATACCTTTGCTTTATTAAGCATTGCTTAGTTAACCGTTTTGCCATTTGTTTGTCTGTACTTGTCAGCTTAACTTAGTTTACGCGCCTTGCTATTATTTCAACATACCATTGCTGTATTAGGCATTGCTTAGTTGACGCGCTTTGCCTTTATTCATAAATTATTAAATAGTGTGCATCGCTTAGTTGAAATGCTAAATGCAATTTGTTTACAAGTCTCCAATTATGTACTTGTCTGTCAGCTTGGCTTAGTTTATTTTATCCATTCTGCACGGCTAATGCTTTAATTTCAATATGAAATTGGATTTAATTGTACATTGTACATACATTAAATGGCACATCATACCAGAAGTTTTAACTAATCTGATGGACATACTGTAGGTTACAGTTTTCAACTTTAATTTTTCGTAATTTAAGATCTGTCGGTATAAGGCAGCAGATCTTTAGATATAGAAAACGACAGTAAATTACAGCACTCAGTAAATTACAGCAAACTGAGTGCCATTACAATCTTTCAAATTACTGACAGTTCAAGGCTGCAGGACAATGGACATACTGTAGGTCACAGTTTTCGACTTTAATTTTTCGTAATTTAAGATCTGTCGGTATAAGGCAGCAGATCTTTAGATATAGAAAATGACAATAAATTACAGCACTCAGTAAATTACAGCAAACTGAGTGCCATTACAATCTTTCAAATTACTGACAGTTCAAGGCTGCAGGACAATGGACATACTGTAGGTTACAGTTTTGCACTTTAATTTTTCGTAATTTAAGATCTGTCGGTATAAGGCAGCAGATCTTTAGATATAGAAAATGACAGTAAATTACAGCACTCAGTAAATTACAGCAAACTGAGTGCAATTACAATCTTTCAAATTACTGACAGTTCAAGGCTACAGTACAATGGACATACTGTAGGTTACAGTTTTCCACTTTTATTTTCGTAATTCATGATTATTGGTATCAGGCAGCAGATTTTTAGATAATATAGCAGAAGACAGTGAATTACAGCAAACTGAATGTCATTACAATCTTTCAAATTACTGACAGTCCAAGGCTGCAGTTTTTCTCTTTGTTGAAAGTGCAAGGCCGAAGTTTATTTATTTAGTGCCATAATATCGTGTATGACAGTATTAATGTAAACTTTGTGGCTGATATGCACAATTTGGCTTCATTTAGGTTATATAGATCTGACAGTACAAGGCTGCAGGTTTCATTAATAATCATTACTGATAATTTCAGATTGAGTTCATGCTACTGCATGAATGTTAATATCACTAGTTGAGGATTGATGTTAATGTTATAAGTACAATTGTACTGAAGGTCTTTATGTATTATTGTAGAAATTTTTACATTCACATCTTGTTCAACGGTTTTGTTATGTTGTAGTTTTTTGGAAGAGTCTAGTCATTATTTTGTACATAATTTTTATACCACAGTTTTCTACATTTTTTACCATATATGGTATTACCATTGCTCTTCACAAAACTAAGTAGTCCTAATTATATATAAAAACTAAAATGTATACATCCCTTTTTTCTAATTATCCTTAATTTATCCTTTAATTTATATTTTTCATGCAACAAATGCAACAAACATAACGAACAAATTAACATAGTTAGACATGTCACATGTATTTAGATCAAATGCACTTATAAGGTTTAATTAAATATTTTACATTTTTGATTCCAATTTTACATTAGTTCTTAACTGATAATTGGAAAAAGATAGCTAACATATTGACATCTACATCTATTTCGGTCTAATGCATTTTAGAGGTTGAATTAATGATTTAAAGGAATAGATGATTTGAGAGAACTGGCATATCCGATAGGACTAACGCAAATTGACAACACTAACTGAAATTCAATGTGTCACATACCTTACATAGGAGATGTGTCTGTTTAAATGTCACCGCTGCCATGCACTCCAACTTCAGTCTATGCATTAATTTTGATTTACAATGTACTAGCCCGAATTCCAGTTTTGAATTCATTCTACTATATACGAGTATTTAACTAATTTTTTCGCATATTTTTCCCTTCATGAACTAAGTTTCACAAGCTAGGGGCCTGTGCTTAATTTAATGACTGCAACTTGGAAGCCATGGCCGTGCAATTTTGGCTTTCCATCATTGTAGGATATCTGGATACTGATACAGTAATAGTCCATTCCTAATTTCAAATTTAAAAAGAATTTTTCTAGTTTTATTGTCATTAATGACTAGTATATTTTGTTCTCTGTTATCAAATTGTATTAGGTAAAAAAAAAAAAAAATTATATACATTTAGAGCTATTGCGTAAGTTATTTTGCACCAACATGTCGTTATTTTAAACAAAATTATATACTTCTTTAAATTTAGTCATGCTTCCTCTTTTTGTTATTATCAGTTTGGACGTTGAAAAAGCCCTGATAAAACATACTGTCAGATGTCTCAATAATACATTTAACATGTAATTGTAATAAAATTTTCACAGCTAATTATTTGATCTAATAACTCGGTTGCTGATTTACAATAGCATATCCTGTAGTGTGCCTGACAGTTTAAGGCTGCAGTCCACATATATTGATAGAACCAGTCAGGTTAGATGTTAGACATTAATTCTACACATATTATAATATTGTCATTAGATATATGATTTGTCTTAACATTTTTGTCCTAACATAACTTGATTAAATTAATGGTTACTTCAAAAAATTTAGTCCATCTGTTTCAATCCTTATCAAGCTCATACCTAGTCAAGTCTCTCTGGGTGGCGGAAGGTTCCCTTTGTGGCGGTTTTTACCCCCCAGTTTGGTTATTTCGATACAAATATGTACATGCAATGTTTGTTATTATGTAACATTTGTCATTTATGGCATTAATAAATGCCCTATTTCATTCAACCTAAGTGTTGTGTTTTATCTCATACCAAACAAGTTCGTCTTGCCAGTTATATTTGCTTGACCTGGACAATACATAAATAAGATTTTATGCCCACATAAAATAATTTATGTCATTGGTCCGTCCCTATTCTCATTACTGTACTGAATATTACCCGTTACGGGTCGGGTTTTAGCCAAGTACATCTTAGCCAATCAATACCAAGACCTAAATCACGTGATGCTAATTAACCAATGATTACATTAGATCTATCACAAAGAAATAATTTTGGCGAGGAATGATTCTCGCCTTTGTTTATTACTAAAATCCACCTCCTCCAACTCCATCCTCCTCTTTCATTTTTTGATGTTGCTATAAATACCATTTCATTTATTGTTCATGAATCAGTAGTTTCACTTATTGTTTATCTCAAAATACGTGTGCAACTATTCATGATGTACACTATATATGTATGTATATTGTTCATGCAAAGATTTATAAAACTAGTCAATGTTATATTATTTCAAATTTTTTTATTTGTTGTCATAAGTACTTATGATCTAGTCATATGAAATACACTTATTCATGTATAGAATGTTTAAAATATTTTTCAAGGATGTAGCCCTACATCAAGTGGTACTAGACACAAGATAAAAGGGCACAGGTTTCCAAACTATGGTTTTTCCTGGGCGAGTCGACCACGTTTTGGAAAAATATTTTTTATTTAATAGTTTTTGATCAACAATCCATATAATTATATTTGTGTAGATGGTTTTTAGTTCAACTTTGTCATCTATTACAACTTTTGCTAAGATTGTTATCTATTTCATAGTTTATTTTGATCTTGTGGTTAATCATTACATTATAATGTATATCATAATCTGGCGGTTTTTACCTCCCAGTTTGGTTATTTCGATACAAATATGTACATGCAATGTTTGTTATTATGTAACATTTGTCATTTATGGCATTTAATAAATGCCCTATTTCATTCAACCTAAGTGTTGTGTTTTATCTCATACCAAACAAGTTCGTCTTGCCAGTTATATTTGCTTGACCTGGACAATACATAAATGCTCTGTGTCACGATCTTTTGGTAAATAGGACCGTCCTTTGGAGACGGAATACTACTACAGTAGCCATTCTCTATTGTATAAAACTAATCAAAAATCAATCATAAAAGAAACTATTTTTGCGTCTTGAAAACGAATTGAACCGGAACATTTTTGTTTATACTTTATTTCTTCCTTCTACTAACGCTTTAAACCGATAAATCAAGTAAAAATAGAAATCCTATTTATAGAAACAAACTGGGATTACGGAAGTAACTAAACAAAGCTTAGATTTCCGTAAAATTACTTCGTCTGAGTCCGCAGTATGAAGGAATCGCCTGAATTGTCAAATTGCAGTGGAAACCTAGACTGGTTTCCCGTTCCATCATGCACTAACAAATGTAAGCAGGAAACTACCTAACCGGGACAACTTTTTCAAAACAAATGGCTATGGCCGCAAGCCACAAATATTACATTGTTTATGCGAATTCATGAAATGCTATATTGTATGTCTTTATGAAGTTGTGCATGAATGTGAAATCAGAAAAAAAAATTAAAAAAAACAACTGTTCATTTTTGTTCGCTTTTAAAGTACATAGTGTCAAAAGTATGAGTATTAATGTGCATTTGACATACTGCTTTAAGAAGTATTTTTCAAGTTTAACCACTTCGAATATACAATGTGTTTTATGGTGCAACGTTTATTTATTTTTGGGGGTCAGTATGATATCCAAATTTGTTTGCAATCAACTAAAAACAATGGTTGTACTCATTTTCTTCATAGTGTGGTTTAAGTCTTAAAACGATTTTTCAAATATCTCATTACAATCATGATAGGGCATTTATTTTTTACTATATTTTTTTAATTATATGAGAATTAAGCCTTCATAAAGCGTGTTCATATTACATGCTATTATAATGACGTTCAATACTAAACCGTTTTATTTCCACATCCCAGTATTAAAAGCATTTTACTTTTTTACAAATTGAAGGCTCACCATTACCAACTCTGTTGCTATTTTAGTTATGGCTGAATTATACAGCAAACCGTTACACTTGGAAGACACAAAGCACTGTACTCCCTGCAAAACCAAAGATAGGAAGACAAAACCCGAGCATTACTGCACGGAATGCGAGGCTTACTATTGTGAGGAATGTTTTGAGCTGCACACGCGAGTACCCTACCTTGCCAAGCATATTGTCTTGAAACATGGTGATATTGACGTCTGGTCAAGAGATCAGTATATGTGTTCTACACATGGCAAAAACCTTGAATTCTTCTGCAAAGAACACAAGATGTTATGTTGCCACGTTTGCATATCACTGAAACACAGGTAACTGGTTTTTGCTGAAACGCCTTAGGTGTTCATGTGGTTATTTTTTTCTTCATCTGTTCATTAATAAGATAATATTCTGCAAATTTGTTATTGATTATCATTGATTCTTTCAATAACAGTAACAGATTCAAATGAACATAAAATTAGATTATACACGGTCAAAACACGTAAATTTTAAAATACAATTAAGAAATTAAAATTACGCTTTAGAAATGAACTGGTCAGGAAAATGCCTTTATTTAGGTTTGAAAATATTGAGCATAAAATTGGCAAAAAAAGAATAAAAAGACAAGCGCACGTGTGTTTTGACTCATTATATTTGGACGTGTATATCGCTGTTGTGTCATCAGCACTGTATTGTTTTCAGTTATTATTAGCTTTTTTTATTATTTGTTAATAATTCAAATAAGACGTATACAGTCCCTATGAACATTTGTGTGGTGGCTGATTTGGAACGCTTTTATTGTCGCTAGCGACAGCACGACAAAGCTCCAAACGAAACGTTGTCTTACGTCTTGTCGTCCTGTCGCTAATGATGAACATCAAACGGCACGTTGTCGTGCGGCTTCCTGTCGCGATGTCAAAGTGTTGCTCGGCATTGGCATATAAGCCAAGCGACAGGGCGACATCGCAACAACGCGCCGCACCACAACAAGACGTTTGGCGTGCTTCGCTAGAGACAGGACGACAAGACGACAGTGCGGTAATGAATAGCCGATAACGATATAGGTTGTGCTGTCGCTATCGACAACGCAACGCGCAAAGTGTACCAAATCAGCCACCATAGATTTGTGACCAATGGTCTTTTAACGAGTAGATGGGTAGAGGCTTATTTCTTGAATTGCATCATTTTTCATTCACGCCAATTCCTGACCACATGACTTGAGGCAGTTGCACAGTGTAAAAATGAAAGGCGTCTCGGCACCATTGGGAGAGCTAGCGAGAAGAAAGGATCAAAGTTTCATATGAAAATGGACTGAAAGAGTCTTATTAATGTTAAAACGATTTCTTTTATTACTTTGTGTTTGTTTAATCAAGTAATTTAATAAGTTTAAAGGAAAACACAGTATAGAGAGATGGAATGAGAAAAACATGCCAAAACTATTAAGGAGAAACGTATTATCCATGTACAAGAAAAAATATGTTTTGTGAATTTAATAATAATTTTGAAATCGACATACTTCTTACTGCATTCATTTAATCCAGTATTATAAATGCAAGTCATACATAATTGACAATGTTTTAAAAGTCATCTTTACTTTTACATTTTCAAACTTTATCATATTCTTGAAACAGTTACAAAAAACATTATGTTTACCAACTTGTTTAACAAATATTGAAAAATGATAAAAACTCGTCAGATTAATTACCTATCAATGGGATGTCGTCAATAATGTGTAATGTTATCATAATACTACTACGAACAATTAAGTTGATCATCCATATTTGGAAATGTAATTATTTCAATAAATTCACAATTACCGCAAATAGCTTTTAATTGAAGACTTAAAAAATGAAATATTTAAAACATTATCTGGTAAGAAAAAAGAAGTGTAAAAGTACAGAAAATGGAAAAACGTTTGGATCAAGTTACGTGTAGTTTTGAACACATGCCCCATATAAACTTTGTTTGCTCACTCTTCGAAAAGGAGGTTTTTCGAAAATGTATAGTTTACCTTAACTGTTTTAGGTCATGCACAGACATGGAATATATCTCAGAATCTGCGATGCAAAGTAATTTGAAAGATCACATTAAAAAAATGAATGAAAAAATCGTAGACCAACTTCAAATGATTGAATCACACACTGGTGGAATAAGAAAAAAGGCTGTTACTAATCAGTTATCGAAAACGGAGTATATAAAAGAACTAGAATCATTCAGGAGTAGGATAAAGGCAATGTTTGATTCACTTTTAGAGAAAGCATTTGAAGAGATGAATGAGAGGTTCGACAAAAACACAAAATATGCAGATAACTCGAACAGGAAATTGGGCCGCTCTAAAAGTAGACTGAATGACCTTCAACAACAGCTAAAATCAACTACTGTTGGTAAAGAAGTTCTTGTTTATATAAGTCTTAAAAGGGGGGAGAATCTTATTGAGGAGATATCAAAGGAGCTATCAAATATCGATTTGTCGGCCGATAATGACTTCTATAAGCCAGTCATTGATGAAAAAATTGAAAAGTACGTGAAAGAATTACAAAAAATAGCGTTCCTAGAAGACGAAAAAATGAGACAAGAATGTGTTGCAAGTGAAGATTGCAGAAAAGAAGACTTTAAAGCAGGTGGAAAAATATTCATCATAAAAGTTAACTGAAAGGCAAATTAATCAATGAATATTTCTAAAAAATGTTAAACTATATCGTGTGTGAAAATTTTATGAAATTAATAATTGAATTTAGAATCCATTTCGACGATTCCTGCACCGCCAATATTCGACAATGACAATTTTGATGTTGTCATTCTTAAGACTGCAATTTTGTTTTCATTGAAACCAAATGGTGTGCACTTGTGACTGTAAAAAGACTTTAAGTTTAAATAGTTTTTTATCAATCTTTTATAGTATTTTTAACTATACGAAGAATGTTGATCATTGTATGTCGAGAAAATAGAGAAAAGATCTCTCTTGGATCTTAGTAAAAAATGTCCTTACATACTGGGCTGGTACATAAGGTTTTGACGTGACAGCTAAATATAGACATAGTCAAATTATTTTGAAATAAATACTAGTATTTCTGTATTGATAAGATGTCGAGACATCTATAGTAAATCATATGTATAAAAGCATAGACTTCAGATTAAGGAATTTCTATCTTCTGTTATAACTTAATCTTAAGTGTTTTAAATGAAAGTTAATTGAAAGAGTCTCCACTGAGGTTTTCTTGACAAGAAGGAATTGGATTTTTTTACAAGATTTGTGTATCATTTGATACAAGACTTAAGTGTATCATTTGATACAAGACTTTCGTGTTGCTTCACATTCAAACTGGGCTAAAATTCGTTCAAGTACACTCTTAGAGTACTTTTTTATTTTTTTTTAAATTTTACTACTATTACAAATTTCATTATTATTATTTTTGTAGATTTTGACATTTTAAGTGCAACTAATTTTATACTGCAACAACATACCTGTTAATTAATCGAAACATTAATATTTTCACATTCTAATAATCCACTGTATTACTTTTGTTCCTTTCACATTAGACATCGTTCCATTTACTATATTTGTTCTGTTTTTCAGGAGATTGAATCGGGCAAAGAAGTGAAAGATTCAAGTTCCTACTTTGTAAGTTCTGTAATATATTTTTTTCTTAATGTGCATCTCATAATCTTTAATATCTAAGAAGATACTATATGCTGAATAATCGAAATGAATGAAATAATTTCTCACACTTTTCGTGGAAACACAATAGACACAGTTTCCAAATTAAATAACTATTCGGATCAATTCTTTAGAATGCTACAGATGGTAAAGAAGGCAGACTTACAAACTCGCGCTCTTCGTATTTTTATATGTAACTTACCTTTTCTCAAGGTACATCTCATAATCTTTATATTTTAAAAGTTACTATGTACAATGTACTGAAAAAATCGATATGAATTGAATCATTTCTCACATGTAACTATGTTTTTAAATGCATGAGATGTACCTTTCCTTTAGAGATGAGAACAGACAGATATATTTTCCAAATATGAACACTTCTTGGACCATTTATTTAGCATGTTAAAGGTGGTCACCTAAATCTTTTCTAATTATAAACATTTCCATTATAGATTATACTATTTAATAATTTATTTTAGTGCTTTACTTCTAAAAGCGAACATCCGAAATACACCGTAATTTACTTGGGTATCCATTTTCAGTTCAGGAGACAGAACTGTGTGTATATTTACACGTTTACGAAACGCAGTTTTGTGAAAAAAATCAATATATTTTTACACTTTTGAAATACGATTTCTATAATAAGGATAACTTTGATATGAAAATAAAGTGTTATAGCGTTATAACAAAAACATCAATCTCTGACAGGAACATGAAAAATATATGCTTTGTATCAATATAATAAAGCTCTTAAGTGATAGAATGAAATACACAGGTTGCAATTTTAACCTGTATTTAAAACTCATGCCATTTGACATTTTGGTTAAAGCAAACAGAGCCTTTTTCGTTAATTAAATGTGAAATATAACAGTTGATGATTAGAAAAATATAGTGTGTATAATAATACTTATTTTAAAGAGTGGTGATACTAACAATTTAAGTAATGTATAAATATCCCTGTATGGCAATGAATTTCTCGGATACAAAGACATAAAAAATAAATCTACATTACATTTCTACGTTATATAAATTACATGATATTTTTTGTTTGTTTGTCAGCTCCAGTTTGGTAAACGTTTGATTTTTTAAACTTACTCTGTAGTCCGTATCTTGGACTTACCAATATTGGGATCATTCGTAGAATAAAGGAAAATGTCCAAGCCCGGCTTGACCTACGATCTATGAGTTCAGAGACACACAGATTTGCCAGAAGTTTGACTTTCCCCATTTATATCTGAAGATGTATAGAGCTAAATCTATTGACATATATCTTAAAGCAGCGATCTCAGGTCATCATTGTTTTTTGTTTATAAACAATCTTGTCTGTTTTAATACAAAAATATTAAAATAAACAATTTAAACATGTTTCGACTGTATCTTTTTAGACTTCAATCATAAACAGTTCATATTACAATGTTTGTCAGTTACAACGGGAATAAATGAAAATCAATAATTTCCAGACTTGTTTTGTTACCGCATTGTTCTAGTTATTTTTCCTTCGCACGTATATCTACTATCTATATTCCTTTACTTGTTATTGCAGCAGGCGGAAGACAACATTCCAAATTATACCCTTGTAAGTCAATAATCCTACCATGCGCTACTTGAATATTTTCGAGAAGTACATTTGTTTTGATGTAAATTGGGGGGGGGGGGGTCAACCAAATTTCCAAATTTTAATGATACCACTCTGCTTTATTCCGTTTATAAATCATCTTAAAATACGTGTTGAATAGTGTTACCGTAGCATATTATTAATGATTCAGTTCTCGTTATTCGATATTAAAAAGTGAAATATTCAGTATTGACAATTTGGACATACTCCCGACAAGCATTGCTAAAATTCACCAAACTGATTCAGAAATTGAGCAAGGTAAAATTATGGCTTTTATAATATGCACTTCCTCATGCAAATATCTATCACTGTGAGATGGGTTTTTTATCTAATTTCGTCTATACTTTTCAAGTTACTCTCCGGGCAAGACTTATTAGATATTTATAAGGAGAATTATTGAAAGTTACAATTCTTTGACACTACCCTTAAACAAGTATTATTTTATGTAATAAAGAGAAATCATTAAAAGACTTAGTTATGTAAAATTATAATACTTTGTCAATGCACTTTCTCTCATAAGTTTCTATAAATATGTGAAGTTTCATTTCGATATCATTGATAGTTTAGAAGCTATACTCCGGACAAGCATTATTTAACATTTCTAGTATAATTAAAGGCCTCGGCATACGGCAGGATTTTTAAGTACAACACCAATCAGCTACAAAATCCTGAATTCGTACACATTTAAACGAGATTTATATGATAGGACATGTTATATATGGTAATTCTTGTTGCACAGAGCTCCAATGATGACAGGTGACAGATTTCCAAATTATACCTCCATAATGTGTTTAATCAAAGGAATTCCAGGACAATTAGGACTAAAATGTAAACATACGAGTAGTATTTAGATAGGTTTGAAAGAATTGAAAACACTTTTAGGGAGACCAAAAGTAGTTGTGGCATGTTCGAATCCCAAATAACTCAGAAAATTATTATAGACCACAAAATGGAGAAGTTTCCATCATTTCTCATGAAAACAAAGTAATTTTTCACCGTGAGACCAAAACATTTAAACAAGGTTTAGGGTGCTCACTAATTTTATTTATTTTTCAGTTACCTACGGCCTATCCCTCAATTTATCTTCTTCATTGGTCAATACTAACAATTATAACATATACACATTTCAGCAATAAGAGTGCGTTAATTGAACTAAATTGCGTAAGGGATCCATTTGGATGAAATCGATTTGGAGAGAAACCTGATGATTCATTGAATATAGAATTACGGTCTGAATACAATTGATGTATTGCTCTGACAAATATAAATCATTTAAGTCTTATAAAAATCTTAGGACCTTAAGAGAGATCATCAAAACAAAATTAAGCCAAGTCGAATTATTTTTTTTTTTTTTTTTTTTTTTTTTGGACAATGTATTTTTTGTTACTGATATCTTCACTGTGTTGAGTTGTAATCGAATTCTTGCAATGCTTTTCAAGTGATTCTTCTGGTTAAGCAATAAGCATTAGCAAGTATTATAAAGCCAGATAATTCAAGGACTAAGAAATTTAGAGTTATAATTCTTGACACCACACATTTTCAGTCTTGTCTTTACAACTGTGTATAGTTTCATTGCGATATAATTGTTAGTTTAGAAGATACAATGCACACATGCATTTTTAAATTACGGGTGATAATTCAAAAAATTATCAAGGTAAAAGTATGGGTCTTAGGCAACATTTCTGCTCAATGATTTATATCACAGTGTGATGTTCAAAAAAATTCTATCAATATTGTTCTAATTATTGCCCGGAACAGAATGAGGCGGACGGATAAAAGGACAGGCATGTTATTGTCTTTTGTATAGTAGACATATTTGCGTTTTTATACCAAAATGGTTTAAAACGATAATTTAAGATACATATCAAGTACAAGTTTATAAGTGTGAGCATTTTTGATTGAACTGTTTCATTACTTTTTATGTTCATTTTGAAAATGCAGGCAAACGGCACCAACTTAAGAAAATAGCCATGTATTTTTTGTAGCTTAAGTTATGCAACTATTGTTATAATGCAACAAGATACATGTTGATAAATCGAAACATTAACAATTTCACATTCTGATAATCCACTGAATTACTTTTGTTCCTTTCACATTAGACATCGTTCCATTTACTATATTTGTTCTGTTTTTCAGGAGGTTGAATCGGGCAAAGAAGTGAAAGATTCAAGTTCCTACTCCGTAAGTCCTGTAATATATTTTTTTTCTTAATGTGCATCTAATATTCTTTAATATCTAAGAAGATATTATATGCTGAATAATCGAAATGATTGGAATAATTTCTCACACTTTTCGTGGAAACACAATAGACACAGTTTTCAAATTAAATAACTATTCGGATCAATTCTTTAGAATGCTACAGATGGTAAGAAGGCAGACT